AAAAAAAAAAGGGGGGGGGATCACAACTTAATACGAGTGAAGAGGCAGGCAATACAGAATTTAGATGGGATTTTTCTGAGCAGTTACTTAATATACAGCAAAACAATCAAGTGGAGTATTGCTCTTCTAGAGTTTAACAGAAATAAAATAATTATTTTGAACAAAGTTTACTTTGGAATACAGTTCTTAATGCCAAAAGAGGGAATGACCTAAATGGGCACCATCATCTCTTTCCAATCTGTATCTATAAAACAAGCTACAGTGTGGAGAGCTAGAATGTGCAATGAATTTGCACATACAGAAGGAATTTTCACCACAGGCAATGTGCTCTACATAAACTACTATACAGTTCCTTAGAAATAGTACCAATTTCTACAGAGAATTGCACTAATAAGCCCCCTCAGCTTCAGGTCTTAACCAACTTTTAGCTATTGGGGGTCAGGAGTAAACTTATCCTATGGGCAGAATATCCCATAAATGCCTACTGCACGCTTTCTTGGAATTCCTCTGAAGCTTCTGATACTGGATACTGTTGGTGACAGGATACCACCTAAACTGATCTCTGGTTTGATCCAGTACGGCAGCTCCCATGTTCCTAAATTGCTGCAAACTTCATTTATGGTTTGTGGAGAATGAGAGTTATCTGCTTGATATTAACCTGTCTAAATGTCAGGAATTAAATCAAAGGAGTCCGTAAAGAATGAAACCCACAGGAAACAAAACAATGGCAAAGAGAAGGCTTCTTGAGGAAACAATAGGGGGAATTATAAACTGGAGAATATCCCGTCTGTCTCCATCCAGATTAGAATGGTTTACTCTTCCCAAGGCTGGGCCTAGGATCAGAGGGGATCCTAAACCTCACAAATGTTAGAAAAGAAAGGAGTGGTTACCCCAGGTTGTATCAGTGAAAGCTGACAGATTGACTGAGGCACACAGATACATAGCCTGCTGCTGCAGGATTGGCTGCTTTCCCTGCCAGAGAAAGAGTTAGGTGGCCTAAGAGGAATTCAAAAAAAGATGGCAAGGAAAGCTAAAGGTGTAAGACAGATCCATTTGTGTAGGCCTTTTATTGTTTTTAGCCTTTTGCTCTTCTTGCTTTGTACCTTAAAAGGAATGAATAAATAATGTCTTGTTTGAAGGTGCTATTTCTGCGAACGTACAAACATACACTATCACATATGCTCCTGAAGGAAAATTCTTACAGGTACAACACCAAGTTGGACCTGTGTCACTAACACGATTGGGAACCAAGGAGATTCCAGACCAGAAATCCAGTCAAAGAATGGTTGGACTGCATTGTTCCTCCCAGAGTGAGGTGCAAGAAGCCAGGCCTGTCACCTAAAGGGTGCACTCCATGAGGAAAAAAAGGGTTTAAGATGCAGTTTTCCCTGTAGGCAGTATACTGTGCCTTTCATTGAACAGCTTTGTATAACTGGACAAAGTATTCAGTGGTGAAAGTGAAATCAGTTAGAAATAAAAACAAGAAACAGGTGTTGGAAATGATCACCCAAACTTATGAAATATTCTTTCACTGATATTCAGCCCAAAAACGAGGACATAATCACAGAGTTGATTCACAGCTTTAAAGTAAATTCTGTATCTGTAGCTCATCTATTGCTTTGTCACAGGAGCTAGTACAGATGGATTTTGGAGGGAAGGGGAAATGATTTAACTTTTATCACCATTTCAGGTGCAGTCTCCAAGACCAATGTAGTGTCCCATTTATAATGTCCCCAGAATTCTAATGTTATAAGTATATGAATAGGAACCTACAAGACTATTGGTTTTAGAGATATTCAGCTGCTTGCATAAAAGAATTCATCAGGTTAAAGCACTGCTTTGGTTCCCTATTTTGAAAAATGTACAGACATTTTAAAAAGCTGAATAATTTATCTGCTTCCATTTGTAGCTTTTGCTTACTGATGCTATTCATTATTTACTTTGTGGTTTAAAATTATTCACATTTTACAGGAATAAATCTATATTAGTGATCTTTAGTAAAGAGATGATAACCAAAAGAGACTGACGAGTGTAAATACGACAGTCTACATAAAGCAGAAATGGAATAAGCTTTCATGGTGTGCTTTCAACAAATCCATGGGAGGCAGGAAGATATCCTGGCTCCAAATTTCTGAGAACTCACTAATGAAAACTGAGCTTCACAACAAGATGTAGATTTTAAAATCATTTTTAGTGTTTAGAATATTTTTTATCTTTGTTCCCATGGTGTATTTCTTCCCATTTCAGTCTCTTGCTCATTCTTTTTCCAAACTTCTGCTGAGTGTTGGCAGTGTTGACTGCTGATTCCAAAAGGTATGTATGATAGCAACCATTGCCTCAGGAATTTGTATTGATTTGACTTGGGAATTTTCACTCTATATTCCTAGAGTTGTCTTGCCTAGGACAAACATCCCCATATAGTAAATAAAAACAGAAATCTTGACTTCTAGTACCACTACAGTTAAGAGAGTCCACCTGATAGTCACTTAATACACTTTACTGATTACTTATCATTCTTATTTGTATCACCCTAGGAGCCCATCATGGACCCCAGGACTCTATTATGCTCGGCACTGTACAAACACAGAACAAAAAAAGACCCAAAGAGCTTACAATCTAAGCATCGGACAAGAGGCAACAGATGGATACAGACAATTGGCATGGGAGAACAAGACAATATTGGTCAGCATGATAGGCAGTGGTCTCAGCACACCAGCAGCCTAATCATTGTCAATTTTTTTGAAGGCAACTGCAAAGGAGAGTTGAAAGGAGGGATTTGAAGGAGGATAATGAAGTGACTTTGCAGATGTTTACAGGGAGCTCATCCCAAGCATGAGTGGCAGTATGGGAGAAAGCCTGAAAGTGCTTGTTCGAAAATTTAAGAAGTACACCACTTCCTCGATATAATGTGACCCAATATAACACAAATTCAGATATAACGCGGTAAAGCAGCGCTCCGGGGGGGTGCGCGGGGCTGCGCACTCCGGTGGATCAAAGCAAGTTCAATATAACGTGGTTTCACCTATAACACGGTAAGATTTTTTGGCTCCCGAGGACAGTGTTATATCGAGGTAGAGGTGTAAGCGATAGTGGCTGACCTCTTGGACTGATTGGAGGCAGGACTCAACCTTACAATACTAAATGAGAGATGGTAGGAAGGGTGGGGAGAGACTGTGAAGGGCCTTGAAAGTGAAGACAAACAGCTTATGTTTGATACAATAAAGAACAGGGAGTCAGTGAAGGGATTTAAAGAGACGGGTGAGATGGTCACAATGATGGAATAGGAAAACAATCTTTGCAGCAGCATTCTGAATGGTTATGAGTGCTACAAGAGAGCATCTGTCAAGTCCAAAGAACAGGATGTTGCAGTAACTGAGACACAAGATGATGAGAGCCTAGATGAGAGCTTAAGCTCTGTGGATGGATAGGAAAGGTTGTATCTTACAAATGTTATACCAAAAGCATCTGAAAGACGTAGGCCTTGTCTACACTAAAGGGAAAAGTCGATCTAAGCTATGCAATTTGAGTTACGTGAATAGCAAGTCTTGGAGCCCGGGGATCGCGGCATGCCCCGGTGACAAATAAGGTGGGGAGAAAGATGGCGGGGGGGGGCCCGGAACCTCCGTAACTTATAAGTGAACTAACTACGCTATACTAACCAACTAGAACTATCTACAGTGAAAACCAAAAGTACTGCTAAGCCGCTTGCCGAAGCAGAGTAAGGGGAAGTTCCAGCTACCGTCACTGGCAGTAAGAAGGAACTGAGGTGGTGATGGGTCGGCAGGGCCCTTTATTGTGTGCCATGAAGGCACGACTCCAGGAGTGCCCAAGCCGACCCCACAGATGCTAGGGGAAAAATCTTCCAGCTACTGTGCACGTGCGCGCGCACACACCTGATTGGAATTGACATGAACAAGCACTCCAAGAAGAACCATTACTTCTTCAAGGAGTGTCCCTATGGGTGCTCCACATTAGATGACTACCAAGCAGTTCACTCTAAAGAGTGTGTGGTGGGGGGGTGCTTCAGAGTTGAGTCCAGTAGCAAAGAAACACAACCGAGTTGAACACTCCATCAGAAGCAAAGTCATGAGTTATTGAGTAGTGTTCAGCAAATGTATGTATAGAGACCCTTACATATTTCAATAATGGTCATATTTTTGAGGAATGCTGTAAAGGTGGAAATGGACCTCGTAGAGTAAATACATATGTTCAAAGGTATTTGAATATTACAAGACTCGTAGCAAGAATTAATGCAGATGGATATCCTCTTGGAAAGACTTTGATTAGAGATTACAGGGACTTTTAATCTACCTGCAAGCAAGACAAACAATTTGGGGGTCTTTCTATCCAGCTAGGCGGCCAGGGCTCTTCTGATGTCAAGGTTGTACAACTGTGCTTCCTGATTATCTAGGGGAGTCTTAGGGTGGAAGAATGGCAGGAGAATGGATTGGTTAATATGGAACTGGAAGAAATTTTAGGTATAAACATTTTGGATGGGGTCACAGCATGACCTGTCCTTAAAAAATACTGTGAAAGCAGGGCACGCCATAAAGGCCCCTACTTTAGCCATCACTTGGAGATCAGGAATGTCATTTTCATTGATAAATGGAGCAGTGAGCATGTAGCCATTTGTTCAAATGGTGGTCTTGTGAGGCATTTAGGTACTAGATTAAGGATCCAAACAGCAGTAGGATGCTTGACTGGCAGATCAAGGTTCCTCAGGGAACTCGGAAATCTCTCTGTCATTGGGTGTGCAAAAATGGAATATCCCTCTATTGGAGAGTGGAAAGCCCTGATGGCTCCCAGATGGACTCTGACAGAGTTCAGCGAGAGTCCAGAACTTTTTAGTGTTAGGATATAGTCCAGTATATCTGGCAGTGATAAGGTCATCGGTGGAATATATCTGAGGTCACACCAAGAGAGAAATCTGGTCCATTTTTGAGAGTATGTACAGCGAATATACACTTTCTACCTGTGTAATAGCACTTTTTTTACTTCCTCTGATCAGGTAGTCTCTAATCCCGTGAACCATCGACCAATCATGCTTTGAGACAAAACACTGTGAAACTGGAGTGAAGGATCTTCCTGCCTTCCTGGGAGAGGAGACGAGGAGTGGCATGAAGTGTGATTGGGGAGCAAACGGCCAATTATATTACGTAAGGAATACATGTTTGCTGGGCCAGGTCAGAACTATTAAGATGACTCTGACTTTGTCTCTTTTTATTTTGAGGAGAACATTGGCTATTAGAGGAGTCTGTAGGAATGCATACAGGAGATCCGACAACCAATGAAGGTGAATAACATCCCTCAAGGATCGGTGACCCAGTACGCCTCTCAAGCAAAACTGGGTACATTTCTTGCTTAACTCTGTGGTGAACAAATCTGAGGAGTGCTCCATTGATGGAATATGTGGTGTAATAAACTGGGGTCTATTTCCCACTCATGATCTTAGAAGAAGTGCCTGCTAAGTGCATCCACAGTCAAATTTTGAACCTCCAGGAGATAGGCTGCTGTGATGATGTCCTGGATGCGTATGCACCAATTTCAAAGCTTGACATCCTTTGCGCAGTTGTCCATCATGATCTTTATGTGTTTGCCCCTGATTAGTGGTAAAAATTGGAGATGCATATCTGATTGCTCTGAATTCCAGGAGGTTGATGTGTAGTGTGGTCTCTTGCGACATCCATTTGCCCAGGGCTGTGCAAGCTTCTAGATGCACTCCCCACCCTAGTAGAGAGGCATCTTCATTATGATGACCACTGGGAGAGGACATGCAAATGGGACTCCTGCACACACATTGTTATAATCTTTCCACCAGTTGAGGGATTATTTTACTCAGGTGGGTATGGAAAGAAGCACATTTTAACTGCGTTTGTGTGGTGAATAAACAGCCTGAGCCACCCCTAAAGGCAGTTCTTGACTGGAGTTTGGGAACTGAGTTGCATTGTACTGGCTATGTTGGAAAGGGCCACAAACCTGTGCAGAGGAAAATAGGCACTTCCTGTTAATGAATTGAGATGAGCCCCAATTAATTCTAAGTTTTGCACAGGGGTCAAAGTGGATTTTTGAATGTTGAACTGCAGGGCCAATTTGAGGAAGAGATTTATGGCTTTGGAAGTTGCCTGTGACATTCAGGTAAGGGAATACTAAAATACATTTCTTGCAGAGCTGTGCTGCTACTACTGACATGACTTTCGAAAAGACCCTCAGGGCAGATGAAAGACCAAAGTGGAGCACCCAGTACTGAAAGTGGTCCTGACTGACAGTGAAACATAGGAATTGTTTGTGGGATGGATGGATCAGAATGCGGAAAAATGCATCCCAAAGGTTGAGGGCTGAGAAGTGATCTCCTTGCTCTAGTGATGGAATTAGTAGCCTCAAATCTAGGATGAGTCTCCAAATGCCATTCTTTGTTGGTACCAGAAAATACCCAGAATAAAATCCCTTTCATCTGTGTTGCATGGGCACTGGTTCTATAGCCCCCAAGCATAGGAGAGAATCTATTTCTTGACAAAGCAAGCTCTTGTGAGAGGGGTCCCTGAAGAGGGATGGGATGGGGGGTTTGTTGGTGGAAGCATAGTAAAGAGGATGGTATACCCTGTGGAAATAATCTCCAAAACCCACTTCTCTGTAGTGATTAACTCCCCAGCCCACCTGAAGCAGTAAAGGTGGTCGCCAAATGAAGGAAGGCAGGTGAATTGGTGTAGCCAGCAAGGAGAAGGATGGTAATTCAGGCCCTCGACTAGCCTGTCAAAATTGCTGCTTGAAGGTGGAAAGTAGAGAGGTGGAAGGCTGAGAGGTGGATGGTTTCCTTCTCTGGAATCTCTGTCTCTTCTGCTGAAGTTCATATGACATCTGGAAGGTCAGGGATTAAGCAAGAGGGGATCGCTGAGCCATCTGGGACTTGCTGAGCTTTCTCTTGTAGGCAGATCTATAGATACCAAGAGAATGTCGGGTAGCCCTAGAGTCCTTTAATATTCACAGAGTTTCAACCGTGCTGTCCACAAACAATTTAGACCTAGCAAAAGGGAGGTCCTCCACCATATTAGAATCATAGAACTGGAAGGGACCTCGAGAGGTCACCTAGTCTAGTCCCCGGCACTCAAGGCAGGACTAAGTCTTACCTAGACCAGCCCTGACAGGTGTTCGTCCAACCTGCTCTTAAAAATCGCCAATGATGGAGATTCCACCACCTCCCTATGCAATTTATTCCAGTGCTTAACCACTCTGACAGTTATGAAGTTTTTCCTAATGTCCAATTTAAACCGCCCTTGCTGCACTTTAAGCCCATTGCTTCTTGTCCTATCCTCAGAGGTTAAGAAGAACAATTTTTCTCCCTCCTCCTTGTAACAATCTTTTATGTACTTGAAAACTGTTATGTCCCCTCTCAGTCGTCTCTTCTCCAGACTAAAACAAACCCAGTTTTTTCAATCTTCCCTCATAGGTCATGTTTTCTAGACCTTTAATCATTTTTGTTGCTCTTCTCTGGACTTTCTTCAATTTGTCCACATATTTCCTGAAATGTGGCACCCAGAACTGGACACAATACTCCAATTGAGGGCTAATCAGCGGAATTATTTCTCATGTCTTGCTTACAATACACCTGCTAATACATCCCAGAATGATGTTTGCTTTTTTTTTTTGCAACCGAGTTACACTGTTGACTCATATTTATCTTGTGATCCACTATGACCCCCAGATCCCTTTCCACAGTATTTTAGCTAATGGCTAGACATCCATGAGCAGATGTTAGAGAGATGGGCTGAGATTTTAATTTGGATAGAAGAAGACAGTGTAAACAACAAGCACGAGAGGTGCTGTATTGGCTGCAGATCAATCGCGACATCGCTAATATGGTAGGAAACTGCTTTTCATGCTTGAAATACAAGCCATGCCAAGAAGCAGAGCCACAGAGACTCCATCCAGTTCCACAAAGGCCTTATGAAAAGGCAGGCACTGACTTATTCACCTGGCAATCAAAGGATTATTTAATAGTCACAGATTATTATTCTCTGTATCCAGAGATTTGCACACTGCACAGTACTAATAGTAAGTAAGTGACAGCCAGTGTGAAGGGTATCTTCTCCACACATGGAATTCCAGATGAAGTCTTTACTGATAATGGGGCACAATTTTCCAGTGCAGATTTTAGGCAATTTGCAATAGATTGGGATATTCATCACAAACATCAAGCCCAAATTGCTCCCTAATCAAATGGATTTGTGGAAAGGTCTATATGGACAGTAAAGAACCTTATGAAAAAGACTTTTGACAGCGGGGGTGATTTGTAGAAAGTGTTACTGGTTTACCGAAGTGCAACCCTGGAGAATGACTTTTCTCAAGCGCAGCTGTTAATGGGAAGAGGGATCAAATCTAATTTACCAATTACTGATAACTTGCTGAAATCTCATAACAATGAAACTATATGGAAGATGAAAGAAAATCGGAAGTGGAAGCAGAAATATTATTTTGACAAAAGGACCTGTGATCTCCCATCTCTTAACCCAGGTGACAGAGTGTGCCTGAGGAATCACACATCTAATATTTGGGGCCAAATGGGTACCATTAAAGAACAGCTGTATCCAAGGTCGTATGTAGTCCAGACAGAACGGGGGACATATTTCGATGTAATATAAGGGATCTCTGAGAAATCCTAGAAAGTACCAACATATTGACAGTACATATGGACTCTGGTATTTCCCATCTGACTGATCCTTTATTATCAACACACAAAGGAGAAACTGTCAAGGAACAAGACTCCAGTCAGACTCTACTGAAAGGGTGATACTGAGAAGATCAGAGTGGAGATTAAGCATCCTGAAAGACTCATAGACACTTGCTAACCTGCCTGGAGAAGGGGTATTTGAGGAAACTGAGTGGTAAAGACACTCCAGAGTGATGTGCTTGTAACCTCTCCTCTCTAGATAGTTGACACATTGAGTTTACGGAAATGCACAACATGGGTAGAAAATTTAATGCATGTGTTATTAGATAGTTGTTAGCTGTTTATATATACGTATATAAGAGTTAATTTGTTTTTCTTTAAGATGGAAGATGTAGAAATACGTTTGTAGAAGACTATAATTTAGAGACGTTCCCTCGTAAGTGACAAGATTATGAACATAGGAATTTGGACATGTGCTCTGGAGGTAGGGATTGGGAACAATGCATGGCTGTGTGCAGCAGTTTATCTGAGACGCTCTCCAGTTTGTTTTACTAAAGTTTTATTTCTTTCTCATTCACTGGTTTGTTATTTAATGAACCCCACATCATTAGTGCTGAAGACAGCTGACAGGCCAAGGAGGATGAGGATGGAGTACTGATTCTGAGACTTGTCTAGAAAAAGATAATTCGAGACTCTGGTGAGAGCGGTTTCAGTGGAATGCAGTGGGCAGAAGCCAGATTGGAGAGAATCGAGGATGGAATTGGAAAGGAACTCCAAACAGTGATTGTAGACAGCATATTTAATGAGTTTAAAGATGAATGGGGAAGAGGTAGCTGGAGATGGAAGTGGTGTCAAGGTTGGTTATTTTTTAAGATGGAAGAGATTAAAACATGCTTGTAAAGAACCAGAAAAAAGTGAGAGGTTAAGGAGAAGATTAAAGGAGAGGATGAGAGTGGGCATGAGAGTGATCAGGAAATGGTGTGGGATGGGTTCATGGGGCAAATAGAGGGATAGGAGCTAGAGAGCTGCATCTGTGACAGGGAAAGAGGAGAGTTGTACTAGGGAAGGGAAGCTGAGGGTAGGGGGAAGGTCACATTGTATTTTCTCTGGAGAGAAATCAGCAAGATCCTGTGGAGAGACAGAAATGAAGGCAGGAGGAGGGGAGGGTTTGAGGAATGAGTCAAAGGTGGCAGAAAGGCAGCTGAGACTGTGCGTGTGAGATTCACTTAAGTTGAAGTTGTTTACTAGGAAGATGGCAGAACTAAAGGAGGAGAGAACTAATTTGCAAGGGAGGAAGTCAGCCCAGTCACAGGATTTCCACCAGAGATGCTCTGCAGTGTGAGCACAGGAAGCGGATATTGGGGGTGGGCTGGGAGTTGACAGAGGAGAGCTTGTGATGGGAGAAAGGGGCAAAACAGTCAAGGGTGGAGGAGAGTGAAGCATGGAGAGAATAAAAAACCCTATCAAAGGAAGAAAGGAAAGAGGGCTGAGAGCAGGTGAGAAGTTATCCACACTGATGGCCTGAAAGTCACAGAAAGACTGAGTGACAGGATGTGGGGAGTAGGGGGACTGATGGGGTGATGCTGAAAGAGATCAGACAATGGTCGGAGAAGGGGAACACAGCAACAGAAGATCAAAGAGACAGCGGTGCTTGGGCAAGATCAAGTAAAATGAATGGCCATTTTCGTGAGTGGGACAACTGAACAGGTGCTGCAAGTCAAATGAAGACTTGAGGGTGTGGAAATGTGTAGCTAAGGTGTCAGAAGGATTGTCAACATGGAAGCTGAAGTCATCAATGTGGATTGTCGGAGACTGAGGAAAGAAAGAGAGTGCTAGGAGTTGAAATCAGAGAGTGTGGCTGATGGGGAGGAGTTGGGTGGACGGTAGATGACAGCAACATGGAGGGGGACAGGAGAATAGTGTCGGATGCAGTGTTGCTCAAAAGAGGCAAAAAGGTGGGAAAAGGAGGTGTTGGAAGTGGCATGAATGGAAGAGAAGACCAACACCCTCACCACAGTCTGATCCAGGGAGTGTAAAAATCCTCTGTAAGAGAGGGCAGAGGCAGTGTCTGTATTATAGTTGTATTATAATAGTGCTGAAAGGGCCACAAACACAATCAGAACCACACTGTGTTGCTCTGCAAACACATAGGAAGACATGGTTCCTGCCCCAAACAGCTTACAATCTAAGACCCCAATTCTGCTAAGATGTACACATGTACTCACTTAACTTTACACATTCTGAGTGCCAGCCCCCCAAGTTAATTGCAGAATCAGCGCCTGATTTGAGAAATTTGTAATGAGAGTCTCAAACTAGTGGAGAGGAGGGAGGAGCAGGGTAACAACAGAGAGATCACATGGTTACATACTGCAGGTTAAGTAGTGCACAAGTTGATGTTTCTAAATATTCTGAATTCAAAATAAATGAATAAATAAAATCAGCTATCCTGATTACCACACAGCATACTCATAGCTGACTGATTGCTTGGCTCACTGATTTATAAGTAGAATAATCCTATTTATACTTTCAGAGTAGCAGCCGTGTTAGTCTGTATCCGCAAAAAGAAGAACCGGAGGACTTGTGGCACCTTAGAGACTAACAAATTTATTAGAGCATAAGCTTTCGTGGACTACAGCCCACTTCTTCGGATGCATATAGAATGGAACATATATTGAGGAGATATATATACACACAGACAGAGAGCATAAACAGGTGGGAGTTGTCTTACCACCTCTGAGAGGCCAATTAATTAAGAGAAAACAAACTTCTGAAGTGATAATCAAGCTAGCTCAGTACAGGTGCCACAAGTCCTCCTGTTTTCCTATTTATACTTGATCTTCTTCTGGAAAATGAGATTTTTTATTTTTATTTATAGGGCATCTTAATATTGTGTGATAAAAAACAAGCAATCAGAGTCTATGTTGCTTCCCCAGTGCATTTATAATTGTGATCATTCCTAAAAATAAATATTTGTATGCTAAGTATTTCTCCTAACCTACAGCAATGTTCAACAGTGCCATGATGAAGGCCAGACAAACGTTTTCAGCTGATCTACACTACAAAGTTAGGTCAGCTTAGCTTCATCACTCAGGGCTGTGAAAAAGTTCACGCCCTGTTGTGATGTAATTAAGATGACCTAAGCCCCAGTGTAGACATT